GACACAGACACACACACCACACACCTTTTTGATGAGCGTGTCATTGTTGACCTTGATGTCAATGTTGACAGGGGTATTAGGAAATGCATCAAAAACGTCCCTGAGGAGAGGAATGCGTTTGTCTTCTCCCCCCTCGCAGAAACACTCTGCACAGACAAGGACGAGTGGAGATCACAGTCAGCTTCAGAGGATACTCAATATGATGGGCTCAAGTGTATTAATCATTGCAACTGTGGCTTTCTGGCTTCTTCCCCAACAGACTTTTTAAGCTAAACTACATTATCTGCCAAAGGTCTACAAAATACATTCACTACATAAAGTGGATCTTTGTAACTTTATAATATGTTGCAGATGAATTGATCCATTAACTTTGGCCAAACTTGAAATAAACATTATTTATGTATTTCTGCAATATAAACATATCACATAGATAACTGAAACCCCTGAGGAACACAATGACCACTGCTGTTGCTGTATGTGGGTGGTGTTAGCTGAACCACACCAGTCGTGTGTATGTGATGCTCACCCCTCTGAAAAGTTACGCCCAGCTTGCAGAGATATGGAGGGAGCTCCTGCAAAGAGCACACAGCGGTTAGAAGAAATACAGCTGATAGTCAGAGCCTATATGAGGTACAGAGGTGGCATGATAAGTGTTAGGCTGGGGGTGTTTTCATGAATGATGTCAATGTGAAAGAGACACAAACCCATCAAGGACATCAATGTGAAGAAACTCCTCTGTACCACGAGGCCAAGAGCAATAAAACTGTGACGCTAATCAGTTCAACAAATGTCAGTTTGGTTATTGAATGCGTCTCAGGAAAACAAAGATCTTTGTTCAATTTAAACTTTTCAAAGATGTGTAGAACAGAAATCCTAAGTGAGAAACAATGAATCCACTGACTTACCAAGAATTTCTGCTGGATCAGATTTTTTTTTTTTTTTTTTAAATCAGGCAAAAGTTCATCATGTGTCTTAATCAGTTGACACAGACCTCACCTCATTAAAGCACATACTCTATCAGTGCTGCTGCCTCATTTACAAAGTTTACGTGCAAACAAACTGCTGTTTGAAGTCTATACTTGTGGTTTCTAGTTTTTAACTCTGATGTACATGGCCCTCTTGACCTCTGTGTCTTTTACTTGTTAAAGGGACCCAGAAAGCTACTGTATGTATCCTTGAGGTTTAATAAATGTGCATTTTCTTCCTCATAAAACATTTTCAAAACCAATTTTTTAAATTATTCACATCCATGTTTACCAGCTTGCAGTGTTCAAACACTTCAGGACTTGGAAGGGAGATTAGAAAATAGTGTCAGATATAGAAGTGGGTAACTCACAGCGTATGCCGTGTCGGAGATGTAGGCGTTGATGCCGGTGGACCTCCGCAAGTTGGCGTCATGTGAAACCACTACCTGTTCGTCTTTTGTCAGGTGGCAGTCCAACTCCAGCATGTCAGTGCCGAGAGCCACAGCGCTGCACGAAGCAACACACAGTACACACATTGTATTTATAACCGTACCTAGGAGTATCCATTGATCATTAATCTCACCACCAGAGGCTACTGAGGTCAAGCAAATAGACACATAGCACATACACGTTCAATAAAATCATAAAGCAGCTCACTTCTCACCCAGTAAACCATCGATGAGCAGAAGTATATCATCTGAGTTATCTAGGAACCGCTGCCTGTGTCCTTAATTGCGGACAAACAGTCAAACGGTACGTGGTCACAAACACTGCCCACAGTCACAAGTTGTGTCCCACATATATGTGATATAATCAAAGAATGAGCTTCGTCAATGTGACTGTGGTTTCTACTCACTGCTTAAAAGCGGCCATGGTGTTTTCCAGGTTTTCACCTGCTCCTACAATGACAAAAAAAAAAAAAAGATAAACATGCTGAGTGAAGCACAGTGTCTTCTTTATATTTGTATTACTGTGGGACCCAGAACTGGAACATTGCCCTCACTGCTAGAAAAAGGCCAAACTGGGACACCAATGTCATTCTGGGGGAACTGGATGGTCAAGTAACTGTGTGTGTAACTTTACCGGCAGCACATACCGGCAATAAACCTCAATGACCCCTGTATGATGGAACCAGAGTAATCAATACACTGTAACATAAAAACGTGCAAATACATCTATTAACAAAACTAACTAACTAGAGGTCGGTAAAGTAGACGAACGCTAAACAGAAGGCCTTTTCTTACTTTGTAAGTAACTAACTATTAGTGAGAACTGAAAGTAGTTGACCTCACGTATAGTCATCACTTTAAATAACACAAACTGTCGAAATATGATTACGATGAAACTGTATTCAGAGAAGAGACATTATGAAATTGTAGCCACTGAATGTTGATGCACAATATCTTCATATAGAAAACCAGTTTCTGAATAATAAGCACACCAACTAAAAATAAATGACAAATTCATTGAGAAATGGGGGGGATAAATTGTCATGTACTCTGTTCCTTGAGGGGGGGCTTTGATACATGATACAAGAAATGATAAATGCTGAAAGGTGCCACTGGCTCACCTCCACGATGGGAAATGTGTCTGCTGCGGAAAGTCTCTCGCTTCCTCCGGTGCAAAAGACTCGGGCATTTCAGCAGCAGGGCAGAGGTGAGCACATAGCCCGTTACCGTGGACAGCACATACACAGCAGCACACATCTCCTATCAGTCAGCTGGAGAACAAACACAACACACCCAGAGATAAACAGTGAGGCAGGATTTCAACAAACTCGGGCTGTTTGTCTTAAGCTACACATGTTTGAGTTAATGTCCAGGAACAGTGAGAGCAGGGCTGCCACTAGTAAGTACTTCCTAATCAATTAATCACTAAATAAAATACCAAATATGACCAGAATGAGGTCTTAAAGCTGCTTATTTAGCTGGAGCAACAGGTAAAAGCCAAAACTATTATATTCTTATTGACATAAATGGAGATGAATCAAGTATTTGCTGTTACCCATTCATACCTAACATACTTATCAAAATGACATGATATGTATCAACTAATCAATCAAGCTCTGTATGAGATCCCAGGTTGTGCTTCTCAAGTATTAGAAAGCCACAGCAGCCTCACAGACAACACATTTCAGATCATTTATATTAATATTAATAATAAAGCTTTTATTGTCGCACTGTTAACTCACTCGAGCTGCCTTGTTTTCAGCGTTACATTAACAAAACATATTAGACAACATTAAGGACATCACTTGTCCCTAACAACAGCACACAGCTGCAACATCAGTTCAGTGACAACCACGTTTACCTGCTCACTGACCACAGCGTGCTGGCTCCAGCAGGCTAACGCTAGCTGAGCTGGGGTCGCACTCACAAGATTACATTACTTTATCTTACCTTTGTCATCAAATTGTTTTGGTTTTCTTTCTTTTCTTTGTTGACTAACCTAGCTAGTCCCAGTGAGAGTTAGTCCGTGTCCAGGAACCTGAGCACACAAGCTGCTTAGTGTGAAGCTGAAGTGATGAAGTGGTCTCTCCTCTGCAGCTTTACTTCACAGCTGTCTCTGACAACAACACACCGGCCGCTGTCGGCTCTACGCGCATGCGCTACGCTGTGCTCCGCAAAGACGTCAACAATGCCACTTCCGCTCGGATATTTCAGAATAAAAGCGGCTTTACGACTAAACTGACTACATATTTTATGGTAATGTTTTTTTTTTACTGAGAAAATGAGCATTGCAGTTAGGTTTTCCCTTAACCTGGTAGATGTGAGGATAAGGTATATAGCAACAGTAGTAGTTTAACATAAACAATTAAAGATACATTCGTTCCCACAGTTGACACCTGAAGTTTATTTGTCAGTTCCAATAAAATAGTAAAAATAACACATAGTTTCTTCAAGACCAGGGTATAAAAAATGTCTCACATGCTATGTAACTGTATATTACACACCTGCACAAT